TATATATATATATATATATATATATATATACGCACACACACACGCACACCAAGATGACTGCACACGCGATCCAAGTCTAATTAAAAGAGGACACCTGAGAAGATACCTTTTCAACACTTACATAGCATGACAGAGTTATTATTCAAGAGAAATCCGATATCAACCATGGCGTATCCTATTCATGTCTTTTTGTTGTCTAAAGTGTACAAAATACATTCAACTAGCGTCATTATTGTTATCTAATATTATAGCAATAATGATTACATTAACTGCAAGAACAACTAGAGGCACTCAGAGAGCGCATACCTCCGCCAAAGCAATTGGATAATGAGAATAATTCAAACTCCAAAAAGTTGTCCGTATCTTGCAATGCTAACCGTAACAATAGTTACACTTTTTGTCAAATCATTAGGGGTAACTGATATGATCTCTATAAAAATTCAGAACCAAAATTTAATGAGTTGGACCAAGGTACATTTCTTGTGAAAGAATAATCAAAATCTGTCTTTAACTTTTTGAGTTCCACCCCCCCCCCTTTCTGAAATGTCCGGATCCGACCTTGTTTACATATGACATTAGATATCAGTCTTAACATGAATATTCATAGTTTCTGAATTATTGTACAATACTGCAATATATACTTTTCTTTCCAGATCTTCCTCTGCGTTTGTGTTTTCTCTGTTGATGCCGGATACACATTTGGGTAAGTCTACCCGGTAAGAAATGTAGAAAACGAACTTTTAAGAGCATGGTAGAAAATGTGACTTCTGTACTAGGGATAACTTAAATAAAAGGATTGAACTCCTGATAATCATATGTGTTGTAGGAAACGTTGGTATTTAGCAGTAACTTTTAGCTAAATAAATGACTTCAAAACTTCTGAATGTCTTATAAGAGAAGAATTCAAACATCTCGGGTTTCCACATAGACTGCGATTACATATTTGACTAATGCAAGAAATACTATCTCTGATATTAAATTATGTTTTACTTCTTTTCATTCCTACTCTTGATTAATTAGTTTAATGGTCTGATTACGATACCAATAATTCTAGTCATGTTGTGAAAATAATTTCATGATAAATGTATCGAGAATATGACATTAATAATGGTACCATATTAGTCTTGATACCTCTGGATTATTTGATGTGAAAATAATGGCGACAATAGCGTATATGTGATAGTGGAAGTACATGCCCCGAAATTCACTATAAACGATCATATAAATTTTTGCTATTATTTAAACACGATGAAGATTTCATTCTTCCTTCAAGCAATAGCTGGATGTTGCAAAACGTCATGTACATATCCATCAGAAAAACAGTAGATATTTCTGCATGTAGTTTATCTCAACATTGTAAAAGTCCACGTTATTCTCCCAAAAATAGAGGAGGAGGCTATGGCGGAGGAGGAGGAGGCTATGGCGGCGGAGGACATGGCGGGGGAGGACTAGGAGGAGCAGGAGGCTTTGGCGGAGGCGGCACCGGGTTCTACGGCGGGGGCGGAAGCGTGCCGTAAGTTATGACAACTCTCTCTTGTATTTCACCGTTTAAGAATATATATTTGTGTATATATAAATAGATAGATAGATGCGCGCGCACACACACACACACACACGGAACCTAGAAAACATAAACATTATGTTATTGGAATATGCGCTAAATTTTTCTCCTTTTCCAGAGTATATCTGACGAACGTCCCAACCTACAGCCTGAACGTGGTGCAGGATGTCCACAGTGGATACTCCACAGGCGTGGTGGGCCCTGGGGCCTTCGGAGGCGGCGGAGGATATGGCCACAGGAAATAACTATGTTATACAGCCATCGCGTATGGTGTCAGCGAATGAATGAATAAATGACCTCTGGCTGTAGGGTGAATGGGATGAATGAATGAATGAAATCTAATTAGGCAGTGAATGGCTTTGGTGGCTCTTAAACGCTGGTAGAAGAAATGCATGGAATGGGAATCCTTTGTTATTGTTAACAGAACATTTTGGTTGAGTTATTTTTTTGGATATTAAACTTTTAGTAAATTTTAAGGAAAGATATTGTTTTGACTTTTCCTCTTTGTATTCACTCTTGAGAGGCTATTGCATAATGGAAATATGTATAGGATACTGCATGGGACTTATTTTCCTTGATAAAAACTAAGGCATTCAGCAAAACCTGAGCACAGAGGAATCCATCTACATACCCTATTATTTTGGGCCTAAAGGCAGAAGGCAGAAAATTCTACAAGACTTTGCACTAATTGCTCTTCCTTTTTAAATGTCATATATATCTTCTTCACTGTCCCTTCCTAAAGATATCATTTGTTACATCCTTCCTTGCCACACAAGGAGGCCGCAGTTAATTATTCATAAACTGAATTCAAGCCAAAGGGAACTGAAGTGATTAAAGAAATTCGGATGAACTTTGTGCAGTTAGTATTTTCTTTAAAAAACCTAGTTCATTTTTAAGTTAAACACAACTGTAGAAGACAGTTGTTATCTCATTTTGCCCCTTGCATGTTGTGAAGTATCGATGGAAGTATCGATGGAAGGCATTATTATGGAAACGTAACAGCAGTTGTGCGTTGATGCCACCAACACATTCAACTGCAAACTTGACAATCACATTACATTAATCCTATTGATGGGGAGCACAGGCCTTAATAAGATCCTGGGACATTAGAGGCATGGGCCAGAGCATGACTTTAGTTATTTCTGATTACATGAACTTAAGCGAGATATTTTGTAACTGAAATTCACGATTATTCATAACATACACATGGCTGAAATCCCAGACATCTACACATGTCAACGACACATAAATCAGTTTTATTATTGACAACAAAAGGAAGTAAACTCAATCTTCTTCATGCAAACAAAATTTTCAATAAAGTTTTATGTTTTCTTTCCATTCATTGGTGACCCTTAGGTTCCTTTTCTTGTACAACCGCCTCATGTTGTACTCGACTTTTAGCTGTCTTTTTAACACATTTTTTCTTTCTGTTTAAAAACAGCACCCAGTTTGATGTCCAAAAAACTGTCTAGGAATTTTTGGAAGGGTGAAGGAGGAGAAGGAGGAGAAAGAGAAGGAGACAGAGAAGAAGAGACTGAGAAGAAGAAAAGATGGAGGAGAAAGGGAGAAGGAGGAAGAAGAGAAGAAGGAGAAGGAGAAAATGGAAGAGGAAGAGAATTAGGAGAAGGAAGAGGAGGAAAGGGAGAGAATAAGGGAGACTGGAACAGGGATAAAGAGATACATTGATAGACAGACAGAGAGAGAGAGCAATAGTGTATATAGAAATAAGTGTATATAGAATTTTTTTTGTTTAATCCTATTTTTCCATTTTCTTTCATTACACCAATTTCTGTCTTTTGGAAAAAGATACAACAATAAAAAAATCAAAACAATATATTAAGCCCAGTGCCCAGCTGGACATATGGCACTTGGATACAAAAAAATAGAAATAAAAGCATGTGTACAAAGTTCACATTTCTTTCTGCTTTTCAGACTTGGAAATGCTATAAGTCATGTATTTAATTTAAATTTATCATATGTTACCCATCTAACTGTTGTAGAACTATAAATTTGCTTGAACAATATTCTTTATCATCTGACAAACTGAAAACAGAATTGTACTGACCCTTGCTAGAATTAATTTTACCCTGCGACACAAAGTAAGTTTCATGTTAATGGCACTCATCTTATTACTCAGTATCTTGTCCAAAGCAATCTGTTAAACTTAACTTACAAAAGAGTTATTAGTTTTAAAAAAATAACTTCTGTTTTGATTTTAAAACAATACTTTTCACAGTCATTACTCATCATTACCAAAATTTAAAGAAAAAAATTATTAGGAGTAAGCACAACACAAGACGGCAGGCACTTGCAAATGCAAATTCAAGGTGCAAAAGTGGTTAGAAAATGCACAAGTGAAGTCTCAAAAAGAAACCATCCAAGGAAAAAGGAAAAGTACAAAAAAGAATCGGCAGTGAAAGTGCAAAATAAATACTGGTAGTCATGTCAAATCTACACAGTTATTGTATCATTGCTCGAGTCAAAATTTGAACAGTGTGCCTAAATATACACTGAAAAGACAATATATGAGATTCACTTTTGCAACTGGACACACAACTTCCAGCTGTGCGTATTGATGATTGGGCCAGAGGTTGTCATCTATGCAAGAGAAAGTCTTAAGATGCCAAGTAGCATTGCATGACACTTGAGAAGACTCGTGATTTCCTGAAGGATGTCACCCTGGAAGCCTTTTTGGAAACCTGAATTGATTAGGTACAGGTCACACGACTGAAATGACCTGATCATAAAACCCCATAGTATGAAGGCTTGCTGCATAGACATCAACTGGACTCAAATTACATGTGTTCAATTTCAAAAGCATAATGTTAAAACAACTGTTTTTAAGCTAACCTGGTTACCCTTAAACTGTAGCAATTTGTTTATATAAGAAAGAAAAAAAGAAAAAAAAAATTGTCCAAGTGGCTTTCATTAGACACAATAATGTGTTTACATTTTGTATTTTGACTTGATCACTCTAGAATGATTATTTTTCAAAATGGATACTAAATAGACAATATTCTGCCAAGTTAGCATAAAAGTAGGTGTATTCCAATTTATCAATGTTGGATAGCAATATAAGTCTTTAGTTTAAAGACAATCAATAAATTAATAACAATCATTCAATATGATATCAAAAAACAAAGATTCATCAAAGGGTTGAGGAAGGCATATTGTTTTCAATAAACACACAAAATGGATCTTGCAAGATGGAATATACAGCAAGATTTGTAACTAATGCATTCACACTTCCTTTCCTAATGCCCAAACAAATGATAAATGCATATACAGGCACTATAAATTACTAACAGGTATTCTTTCTGGACTGCATAACTAAAATTCACTGAAGATTTCAGAATAAAATAACAACACTAATAACAAAAGGGGAAGTGACACACACTAATCCCGTAAAGTACCTCCGTAGCAGCACAGGGGCACTTCATTCTTGCAGAGCTACCATGCAGTTCCCATTGACACTGATCAACATAGTGTAGAACAACTCTCTACTTTCCGTTCTCACAACTAGGCCTATCTATCTGCGAGATACCCGTCACAGCCTCACAATTCGTCATCAAAGCGATCAAGGTTGTGCAGGTGATCGCCATAGTCTGTGGCTTCCGAGCCTACAAACACGTCATGGTGATCGAGGATTTCCAAGAAGGACAGCAAGTCATCATTGTCGTCATCTGCCGCGGCAAACAGATGATCCACCTCATCCTCTGCTATGTCCCTGAAGGAGGAGATGGAGATCTGTTTTATGAGTCTGTGAAACTTAAATATAGATACTGAAAAAAAGTGTGCCAAGGCAGAGAAATGATACTGGCAAAGTTACTAAGTAAAATCAACACAATTTTTAATGAATTATGAATCCTACACATAATATCATGATAAAAATAAGAATAAAGATCAAAAACTGCTCATCTGCACATGCATACAAGTGTAGGTGTGGGCCTGCATATGAGAGATTGTACTAGTATCACTTTGTAAATGACAGAGTGAGAGAGTGAGAGGGTTTCATTGAATGTGTCAGTCACATTGAGAATGTGTGAGTGTATGAATATCAATGTGAGTAAATGACTGAGTGAGAATGTGTGAATGTGACTGTGAATTTCCCAAATCTCTTCCCTTTCTCCTTCTCCCTTACACTCTTCCATTTTCTCTCCTGTCCTCATTCTTACTCTCCCTCCCTTCTTCTCCCTTACATTCACCTCTTTCCTTATGCTCACATTTTTCCTTATTTTTTCTCCAGATGTTGTATTTCTTCTCTCATTTTCACTGCTCTCTTTTGAACTATTCATCTTACTTCATTTTTCTCTTATTCTCTCCCATTTCTCCCTTCTCTACCCTCCCTACTTTCTCTATTCTCCCTCTCTCATTTTACCAATCTCACTTACCTTACTTGAAGAAAGAGAAATAAAAATAAACAAAACTGACCTCTGAAAAACTAACAAAAGAAAAAAATCTAAGCTTGAAATTCTGTACAAAAGATTATATGCGTATATATATATATATATATATATA